CTCTGCTGTGTGTCCTCTGCTGTGTGTCCTCTGCTGTGTGTCTCTGCTGTGTGTCCTCTGCTGTGTGTCCTCCACCTCATGTCGTAACATCCTCTCAGGAAACGTTGTTCCTTTTTCTCTACTAATAAACAGCGTTCACAGTTTGTGATTCTCGTTTCGCTCGTGGACATTTTCACACGTCTTCGTGGGCGTGTTGTCCGTTGGGGGGGGGGGGTTAGTCTTTCAGTTTGAATGGAAGAAAAGAACGAGGATCTTCATTTGGTTGCCACGGTAACATCGTGATGACATCACCGGACCTTTCACACCTGATATTTAGCTTCACACTGAAAGTCGTTGAATCAAACTGATCTGAGTCCTGTTCATTATTTACATTATCCAGACGAGCTGTCGGTGACGTTTGTCTCCTCCGTCGTGAGGACCAGTTGTCTTCAGCGTAAAGAGCAGGAGCATCTGCTCCTCCTCAGTTAGCTTGATGTTCTGGTTCTCAGCTCTCAGCAGACTAGTAATGGACGTGATTCCATCCTCTAATCAGATATTTTCATCTCATATTTCCAGTTTGGGTTCAGTCTCTTTATCTCTGTTTGAGTTTCCTGTGAACGGTGAGTTGTTGTGGAACGAAGACGCCGCTCTGTCGCTGTGAGACATGACCTCACACACTCGCAGTAACTTGTCGGTTCTGTTCCCGATCGGTCACATTCAGCGAGTTAACTGCGGCTCTGGTGTGTTTCTGTCTCAGATGTGGGGAAGAGCAGCCTCCTGCTCCGCTTCGCTGACAACTCCTTCTCTGGTGAGTTCCCACAAACACTCGGCATTTCTCATATTTTCCTCAAGTCCGTTAAATCTGTTCAACTTTGAAATCAGAGACGTCGAAACATTCTCTACAGCTCCAGTCATCTTATCTGCAGGGTTTATCTGAGCTGTAGTTACCGGTCTGGACCACCAGGAGGCAGACATATAGAACATTTTACTTTTAATTGAAAATCAAAACTTTCCTTAAATCATGACTGAATTAAATGTCTCCTCCTCCATGTTAGCAGATGGGACATGAACCAAACTCAAAGTTCTCTTCTCTGATGTTTGTTCAAGTTTCTCATCAGTTCTGTTTCAATCAGTTATTTGATGATATAAAAACAGGCGGAGACGTCGAGATTGACAGCTGACACTGACTCCTGATTGGTCGAGCGTGGGTATGGGTGGGACCTCGATACAGCGACTCCGCTCCTCTTAATGCTGCTTCACGAGCTTTTATGATTTAAGATGAGGAAGTGAGTCCTTCCTGTGTGTGATGTGAACGTGTGCCACCCTAGACACAGTTGTATGATGTCTGTCTCTCTGTCTCCTGCAGGCAGCTACATCACCACCATCGGCGTGGACTTCAAGATCCGAACCGTGGACATCGAGGGGGAGCGGGTGAAGCTGCAGATCTGGGACACGGCGGGTCAGGAGAGATTCCGAACCATCACGTCAACGTAATCATCTCCAGACCAGAGCTGGTTTCTATGTCCAGGGATTTTCCTTCACGGTGGTTTGAGTCTGTATCGTCAGGTCTTTCACTTTCATCCTTCTCTCTGCAGATACTACAGAAACACCCACGGGGTCATTATTGTTTACGACGTGACGAATCCTGAGTCGTTCGTAAACGTTAAGAGATGGTTAAACGAAATCTCCCAGAACTGTGACAACGTCTGCAAGATCCTGGGTGAGTCTTCATCCATACCCGTGTTTTCAGTACAGAACCAAATTGATCCTAAAGTTCCTGATTTCTTTCTCAGTGGGAAACAAGAGCGACGACCCCTCCCGGAGGCAGGTGGATACCCACGATGCAATGCGTTTTGGGGAGTCAGTGGGTGTTCGGGTCTTTGAGACCAGTGCCAAAGAAAACATAAACGTGGAAGAGGTAACTAGAAGACGTCCTGTGTGTTGTGGCTTCATTTATATCACGATGGATTTAGTTTCGATTAAATTCATTTCAGTTTCATTTCACTAGCGTTGTCAACACATCTGTATTTTACATGCTGGTGTTTTTCATATTTAGATCCAAAGAACATTTTGTTTCTTCCCCTGCTCAGATGTTCATGGCCTTCACCCACATGGTGCTCCGAGCCAAGAAGCAGAGTCAGAACAGAGCCGAGCGGGAGCGAGAGCGGGAGAAGGACACGGTCAACATCAACGCCCAGAGGGACCGAGACCGCCGGAAGAGAGGGAAGAAATGCTGCTGAGTCGCAGACGGACGCCATAGTCACTCGACGCTCGGCGCTTAAACAACATTGGGAAAACGGTGCCTTAGGAGTTTAATCTGCAGATATGAATGTGAGAAACTGTGGTTCGCTCTTTACTAAGCCAAGTTTCAACACAACAGTCAGGTTGTTACAGTCACTGAGGGATTCAGGCCGAGTCCACACAACACACTTTAGTTTTAGAATGCATCGCTGTTGCTAAAACTCTGGTTTGTGTTTTAGTCTGAACAGAAATTGAGTCTTTAGTAAACGATGACGCCCACGTCCTCTTCCTGATTGGTTCTCATCAGTCACATGACTAACACTTCCTGTCAGAAACAGCTCCACCTCGTCCCTGCTCTGACTTTTCACCATCACTGCTCCTCCTTCAGAGTTTCTGTGACTAAGCAACCGACTGCAGAGGAGACAATCTACTTCCTGTTTACATCACATGACCAGTGGACGTGAGCGGTCATGTGACGTGTGTGAGTGTGGCCAGAGATCGTCTTCAGTTTAAAACTAAAGCGTATCCGTGTGGACGGAGCCTTGATCTGTTATCACTGACTTCATGTAGCAGTCGGGAGGTGACCAGAGTAAAGGACCAGTCTGATGTTTCGTTAAAAGCAGGTTGTAGTGTTTCAGAGTTTCATGTCCGTTAAAGAGTCCTGAGGACGGAGCCGCTCGGAGACGTCTGCACCTCATCATCAATTTTACTTGATTAATCAATAATTTCTCAGTGTATAAATGTCAGGAAATGAAAAGAGCAGTTTACACCTTCCGAACTCCCACAGCAGCGTCTTTAACTCGCTCGACACGTTGAGTTTATTTAAATATTAGAGAAAGGATGAAACAGAAAATCTCCAAAATGACTCCGAGCTTTGAGTTTTATCTTCGACATCTGTGTCAATGCGTCGGAGTCTCAGTCTCTCAACCTTAACGAGGATGATCTTTCTGTTGTGAAACCAATGTCGAGTCAGTCTCAACAAGTAACTCATTCAAACCAGACTGAGCAGGAACTCGAACTACCTGAAGTATCCTTGTCCCGTCTACTAACAGGGAGGAGGCAGCGTTACGTCATGTCATCCATCTTTATTTACAGAAAACCTTTGAAAACACTACAATCTGCTGTTAAACAGAATTGAGATTTAAACTTTAACTGTATAAAACACTGTCATGGTCCTTTAACGTTGCTCTAGTGAACCACTGATTTTTGCCTTTTTGTTTTTCTAACCAGTGATTTACCGATGAAAGGGAACTGGTTGTAGTCGTTACTAAATCTTAAACTTGGCACACTAACAGCTGTTGTGTTCAGTCTCAGTACGTTTGCCTCGTTTCATTCAAATAACGCCAGTAAACTCCGACGACAGGACGCGCTTCAGAAAACTAAATGTTCCAGTTGTCGGTTTTTGTTTTTTTAATGTAAATCTGTCGCTGAGCAAATGTGTCCAAATCCAAATAAAGCAATAAATCCAGAGTTTGTTCAGATGAAAAAGTGATTCATGTAAAATTCAAAGAGCTTGTGAAGGTGATGGGCTGCGGTGTAGAGAGAGAGATGGTGTTAATCAATAATCCATGTGTCTGTTAGTGTGGAGTCATTGTTTCAGGAGCAGAACTTGAAGTTTTACTGAAACTTACAAGGTTTTAATTTAAACTAACTTCAGCTCCTTTTACCAGGAGATCGTCATTAAAGTTAAATCAACACTTAAATACTGTGAGCTTGATGTTTGAGTGTGAACAGAACGTTTCCTCCTTCGCTCCCCGAGCGTCTGTTCTCTGTCACTCTGCTGAGTGGGTTCATCTCCTCAACTTTAAAACACGAAGAACTCTGAACAGAGTTTGGTGGATTTGTTTCAGCAGCAGCTCTTCTGGTTCAGGAAGCAGAGGATCATCACTGCTGCTGAAAAATACATTAAGATATAATTTTACAAGATAAAAGATAAGTTTAATCGTCTCCAGCTGGAAACAACAGTGGACAAAAAAAAAGTTCAAACTCACAGGAGACATGTCAGAGTTTTTATATTCAAATCACGAGAACGTTCGAAACAACCTGAACTACTTCATCTCCAGCTGCAGCGTCAACGTCTGGATGCTGAGGAGAGTGGAAGTGCTTTTATTTTGAAAACCAAACCTTTCAGAAGAAGAGCCTTCATAAAACGATGCAGCGTTCATGTCACAGGAGAATCCAGTTTGACGAGCTGAAGGAAGTTTCTCTGGAATGTTAAAATCTCTCAGCTTCCGTCAGACTGAAGCTGAAGCTCAGAACTCGTCTGTGGAACAAACAGTAACTTTGAGCGGAGCTGACATCTGCGAATTCCAGACGACACTTGAATGCAGCGTCACACTGGGACAGTTGCTCCTCCCCCCTCAGTTGGATTTGGGGAGTCTGTAAACGCCGGCAGAGACCATCAGCTGATGCTCCCTGACCTTCCTCTGCAGGAAGGCCTCCAGCTCGTTCACGTCCATCTCCGTGACGACGGGTCCCGTGGCGACGAACATCCGGAGCATGGAGTGGATCCGGTCCAGTGTCATACTGTCCAGGTTGGTCAGCATCGCCTGGATGTAGGCCCAGAACAGCTGGAGGGAGAGAGAGAGAGAGAGAG